CCATTTTAGGGACGACTGGAGAAGGAGGTGCAATGCTCGACTGAGCCTCGCCAAGCTTCGGCAAGAAAGCTGTGCACGTCTGTTCGTGGCTGAGTTCCCAAGTGCCGGATGTACATGGGTGTTTCGAGGGTAGATGTTGTTGATGCTGACCGGAAGTGACGAAGAAGATGATGTGCTGGCCGGAGAAGACGGCCGGAAGTTGCAGGAAGGCCGGAGACGATGACCGACGCATTTGTGGAAAAATTTTTGGGCAAAACAATTGGGCGAGATTTTTTGTGTGGCGTGGCCAAGTTGAAGTGGACTCCTGACGTTGATTGTGCGTGAATATTACGTCGGGCTGAGCGGGCTGGAACGAGCGTGCTGGGCCGAGACGGCTTGAACGGATCGACGGAGATGGATGACCTCATCATGACTAGTTGCCTCTTGCACAAAGGGCTGAGTGAGAGTGGCACCGGACAAGAACGAATCACGTCGTTGACGGATTTTGACCAGACATGGCTGAAGGAGGCTTGCGGGATGGTGTCCGGTCAGAAGCGCGACTGTTGTTGCACGAAGAAGATGACTCTTGCCGGAGAAAAAAGCGTGACTCTGGTCCGGGGAAGAGGACGTGCGTGTTTTTTCCTATAAACTTTTTTGACCGTCATAGCCGGCAAATTTGTTGTGGATTGATCGATTCTTTGGCAGAGCATGCGTGAACGGTTTTTTGTTTAAGCCAAAATAATTTGTGTACGTGAGAGTTCTGGGAATAGGAAAGACATCTCCAACTTTGTTTCCTTCTTCTTTTTTTTTATTTATTTTTATTTTTATTGTCATTATTCATTTTATATGACTAATATTTATTTATGGGATTTCCATATTAATTGTTCATTGTATATGATAATTAATTATTGTTATTGGTAGCATAGATAATTAATTACGATAAATATATAATATGAGATGTGCATATTGATTGTTTAATGTGTATAGTAACTAATTTATTGCTATTGATAGCATAGATAATTAATTATCATAATTATTCAAAATATTATGGAATTTTTTCAATATTTTTTGAACATTAACAACATTTCTTTTGGAAAATCTCCACCACACAACAATTGGTTGTAGAAATTTATCAAACTACAAATATTTTAATAGAATCGAAGAAACTTTTCAATTTTTTGTTTAAAAAATCACACCATCAATTGGGTGTCTATATGTTTATATGATTACATCTCCAATGCTACACCTTTGAAAGACTATGATTTTTAACACATGTCAATCAATGATTGTAATGTTAATCCATCTAAGAATAATGTTAAAAGATTAGAAATTTGAATCAAATTAGTATCTCCAATGCATCAATTTGATATGAAGTTATTTGTATAGGTGGACCAATTAAAATAATCATTAATACAAGAAAAATAATAAAATTAAATAAAATATAAAGTGAATTAATTACTCATCATGTTTAACATGGTGTTAGATATTAGAAAGTGTGCTCAACATTGTCAACATTAAATGCTATTCACCTCATCATGAAAAGCTCATGACAAGATGCATTGGAGAACAAATTAGTAACACACTTTCAAAAGTTGATGATATGTATGAATTTTTATAATGTCAAAAGTCACATTGGAGATGCTCTTAAGAATTTGGAAAGAATGCAAATCTACATGGACGGTTTAAATTACCTTTTTCGAGATTGAAAAGAATCTAAATTTATATGGATGGTTTAAATTATTTTTGTCAAAAGAATCCAGATTTATATGGATGGTCTAAATTATTTTTGTCAAATTTCGTAAAATCCCGACTGCATAAATTTTTGTGT